GGCGCACCTTGTCTTAAAGCAGACATGAAAGCACGAGGGTATCGTTGAATTTCCAACGTGAACACCTCATCCGCCAGCTTGCAGGTAACCAACTCGGCCACATTCACTCGTCTGTGCTCAAATTCTCGACCTGTATACGAAAAATCGTCAGTCAGTGAAAGAAGCGAACGCTTAACAAGTGATCCGTTGCTTGAATCCTTTGTTCCTTTGTCGAAATTCGAGTCCTTCAAACGTTGGAGTTCTGCCGCTAAAGCTGGTGCCGGGTCTTCTACGTGAAGGATAGAGAGGTCTTCAGCTATCGAAGTCGTGCGAAATGAGGCAAAAGGAGTTTGAGGAGTGCGACGCATGATCAATAATAGATCCTTGAAAAAATTGTTGTCAAGTTGCGTAGGTCGAAAAGCGTGCAAAGATTCTGTAGATAAAAAGTTTATTAATGAAGAGACTGAGCAAGCCTGGATCGACGCCGAGCCCATAAACTTGTCCAAGTATTCTTCCGCATCTTCTTCGTCAGAATCCTCGGGGACGCGCTTTCGCCGAGACAACCCATCCACGCTGGTGTGCTTGTCGGCAGGTACGTGATTCATTACGTAGTCGAAAAGTGCAATATATGAGATCCATCTTGTCATTGGTGCGTTCGGGAGGTCAGGTTGCTTCACCATTTCGATCAGAAATTTTGCATCAACGTCAATACGGAAATGGATGCCCCAGATGCGATGTCGAAGGTCCTTAACTGCGCGAAAAACTCCGTAAAGCTCTAACTTCGCCTGGGAATACCTAGATTCAGTATCATTAAAAGTACAAGAGCCGAAAATCACCGGGTGTTTTTCTTTTTCAACCATTTGAAATAATATCCATCCGGTCCCATTCTGACATGAATCTATCCCAACGATGACTAGTCCATGCTCTGAGGTGCGGGGCAAAGGATCTAAATGAGTCATTTGTTTTGCTGCTTCGTAGTCGAGCTTGACCAAAACTGGAGCCGTGGAGATAAGACGCTTGAGTTCTTTTTGCGCTGCTTCTGCTTCTGGAGAAAAATAAAATTCTCGCTGGACGGCTAGACGAGTCAGCTGCGTGAGTGGCTTCGCTATGAGAGAAAATCCGCGTATCCATTTCCGCCCAACTCCTGCCGTTCCAAGAAACGACCTGACATCTGTAACACTTGTCAGCGGACCCCAATTCAAAATTTTCGTTACTAATCCATGTTCAAGATGCCATCCATCTTTTGAAACGATGGTCCCGACAATGTGGAGGCGAGGCGTAGCGAGGACAAGCTTCTTTCCAGATGCGGTTATCCCTGCTTCGATAAATCGCGCGAAGAAACGATCCAGA